GCAATCTCCTTCGATTCCGATGAAAACGTGCTAAGCTTTCGTCCGTCATATGACGGACATCATCAGAGCAGGGTATCATTCATACAACCTTGTAAATTAAGAAAACCGTCATACAAATGACGAAAACTTAGCATGTTTCCGCTGGAATCGAAGGAGTTTACCTAGGAAACAGCGTTAACAAGAATGCTACAGTAGGACCATTTGACAGCTGGTCAAGAGGAATACGCAATCGTGTTATGGTGGGATTGACCTTAGAATCTCTTCACCAAACACTTTTACTCAAAATGAACGTAAACTGAATAAAGTTCGGACTGTCGTTGTTTGTTCTGGGCGAATTATCCTCCTTTTGATGGGGTTTTTCAGGATACGCCGCTCCATCCCTCCCAGGCAGACCATCCTTCCTTGTCCCTACGGGCATATGGGACTTGTGTTAGGTCAAAGTGCACGTGTCCATGGTCTAAACTTGGCCAGCAGAGCTGGTGTTGCCATGCTGCTCACCGAGGCAGGGAATGAGCCTGAGAGCTCCCTTCGAAAATCGCGAAATACGTAAATGCTTTTATAGGAATATTAGATACTTTCGCTTTCCGTATAGCGACTAATAGATCTGAATACAACTTAGAGACTTATATATGGACGTTTGTAATGAAATAATATTTTGTGTCAATTTATTTTATTTGTTTTTCGTTCTCTTGTTTGACAAACGCATACACTCGCAAAGAGGAATTCCCTCCATTTTCCAATTTAGTGTAGGCAAATTTGAAAGTTCTCTGAGTGGCACACTGACTCTGGTTCATTCTGTTAAAAGACAAAATAAAGTTGTCTAACTAGCCATAATCTTAGTGCTTAAATGTATAAAAATTATTTGAATCAATTTTGAAAGGTTATTTATACAGACCTCCATAAATTAGGCCAAATAAAAGTAAAAGTCCTAGTATAAATTTACATCTATCCCATTCTATCCCACTGTAAAGCTTGTGTTTGCTTCAAACTTAATTCTGTGTTCCTGAAATAGACTTGACACTATTTTGCATGTTAAAGGGCAAATTGGACATAATCTTTCTGCTGAACAAAGTAGATTAGAACCTTGAGATGAAAATATCGCAAAGTACAGGGAATAAGTAACTAATTCGAGGCGGAACCTTTGCATTGTATGGCCGCACCATTTCAGACCTATTCAG